GTGTTTTAAGGAATCAAATATCCTCACCGTTGCTTCTCAATACATTTATGAAAATATCATCTATGCCAGAAGGAATATAGACAGTTTCAAAAGAGTTAGTGATTGCACTAATAAAAGCTTACGTAACAATAACAAACTGATTTTACCTAAATGTCGTTTGGCTAAAGTTAGTAATTCGTTTTATGGCAATTGCGTAAGGTTTTACAATAAAATACCAGAGTCTGTTATAAATCTGCCAGAAAAAAGATTTAAATGTCAAATAAAACAGTTCCTTTGCAAAAAAGCTTACTATAAAATTGAAGAATTCGTTAACGATAATAATGTTTTTATAGAAAAACTTTAAATCTATAGCACTGACAATATTATCTGATTACATTAATAATGAGTGCGTAGCGACTTCTATGTTGATTATCGCATGCCTCTTACTTGTTATACTGTAATTATTTATATAAAAAAAACATCTATTAAAAAGAGCAACACACAAGTTTCTTGCTCATTCTTCTTGTGATGAATCTGCATTCCGGTTGAATCAAATATGACTATTCAAAAGTGCTTGTAATGAGTTTATTTGAATAAAGATTATTTCTATTTCTATTTCTATTAAAAAAGAGACTTGACTAGTTATAAGATAAATAAATTTAAAATATCAGTTCGTAGTAAATTAGATTTTTATCTTCCATCTAATGAACCTAACAAACTTTATACAGATTTCTTCAATATTGTTTCTAACGAATATAATAAGGCTTTTAACAAAAAAACTATCAGTATTATTAACAAAACAAAATTTTCAGAATGGGCTACAAAGGGAATTCTTAAAAGTAGAAATATATTATTTGATTTATATGCTCAAAAAAAATACCGTTTCGATAGTACATTCGTAAATTATGTAAAAAGATACTCAAAAACTTTTAAAAAGGTATGTAATGTAGCAAAGTCTAATTATCTAAATAAAAAAATTAAAGAGTCCAAGGATAAGATAAGGACAGTGTGGAGTATTATTAACAAAGAAACTGGCAAAGTTAAAAGTCCATATAACGATTTTACGTTAAATTATAATGATAAACTAGTAACGTCCACAAAAGAAATTGTCAATATTTTTGAAAATTTTTTCGCTAATATTCCAACTGATATTACTTCCTCTTTGGACTCTTCTCCTAGTACAGCTAAATCATTCCTTATTGACAATGTTGTTTCTTGTCCGGTTACATTTAAATTTACATTTATTGACATTGCTACAATTACTAAAACATTTAAACAATTAAATTTAAAAAATACTGAAGACCATTGGGGCATGTCTGTTAAAGTTATTAACACCGCTATAGATGTTATTGTTCCATATTTAGTAATTATTTTCAATAAATGTATTTCTTATGGTGTTTTTCCCAATTTAATGAAACATAGCAAAATAACTCCACTCTTTAAGTCAGGAGAAAAAACTGTGGTAGGTAATTATAGGCCTATATCTATCTTACCAGTATTGAGTAAGGTGTTTGAAAAAATTATGCTCAATCAAATGCTGCAACACTTTAAAGTAAATAAACTGCTTCACAGTCGACAATTTGGTTTCACGGCCGGTAAATCAACTACTGATGCCGGTGTAGCTCTCATTAAATATGTATTTGATTCTTGGGAGAGGTCTCAGGATGCAGTCGGTGTATTTTGTGATCTTTCAAAAGCATTTGATTGCGTTGAACATGAAACACTTTTGCTCAAACTTGAACATTACGGTATTAGATATGAAGCACAAAGCATGATGAAATCCTATCTAAATAATAGAATGCAAGTTGTCGAAATAAATGGTGTAAAGTCTGAGGGAACTAGTATTAAAATGGGTGTTCCTCAGGGCTCTATTTTAGGTCCTTTCTTATTTTTAGTTTACATAAATGATCTTCCTTATATGGTAGAAAAGATAGCTGACATAGTTCTGTTTGCTGATGATACTTCATTAGTATTCAAAGTCAATCGACATATTGATGATTTGGACGAAGTAAACGGTGCTCTTTCTTATGTTTTAAAATGGTTTACGGCTAATAATATGTTACTAAATGCAAATAAAACTAAATGTATCAAATTTACTCTCCCCAATGTAAGGCCGGTAGATTCAAAAATCACGTTGGACAATAAACCTATTAATTTTGTGGATGATACTGTATTTCTAGGTATCACATTAGATTCCAAGTTGCAATGGGGTGCTCATATTACTAAATTAGCGAGTCAACTTAGTTCTGCCGCTTATGCGGTAAGAAGAATTAGACAATTAACAGACGTGGCAACGGCTAAACTTGTGTACTTTAACTATTTCCATAGCATTATGTCGTATGGTATTTTGTTATGGGGCAAAGCAGCTGATATAAATACAATATTTATTTTACAAAAGAGGGCCATTCGCTCCATTTATAGCATGGGTTCCAGGGAGTCTTTGCGAGAGTGCTTTAAGGAATCAAATATCCTCACTGTTGCTTCTCAATATATTTATGAAAATATCATGTATGCCAGGAAGAATATAGACAGTTTCAAAAGAGTTAGTGATTGCACTAATAAAAGCTTACGTAACAATAACAAACTGATTTTACCTAAATGTCGTTTGGCTAAAGTTAGTAATTCGTTTTATGGCAATTACGTAAGGTTTTACAATAAAATACCAGAGTCTGTTATAAATCTGCCAGAAAAAAGATTTAAATGTCAAATAAAAAACTTCCTTTGCAAAAAAGCTTACTATAAAATTGAAGAATTCGTTAACGATAATAATGTTTTTGTAGAAAAATTTTTAAATACATAGCACTGACAATATTATCTGATTACACTAATAATGAGTGCGTAGCGATTTCTATGTTGATTGTCGCATGCCTCTTACTTGTTACACTGTAATTATTTATATAAAAAAAAACATCTATTAAAAAGAGCAACACACAAGTTTCTTGCTCATTCTTCTTGTGATGAATCTGCATTCCGAATGAGTGGTAGAATCAAAATATGACTATTCAAAAGTGCTTGTAATGAGTTTATTTGAATAAAGATTATTTCTATTTCTATTTCTATTTCTATCTAAGTTTTTCCTTGTATACATAATATTTTCATAAATGTACTGTGAGGCAACGGTGAGGATATTTGATTGTTTAAAGCATTGACGTAATGACTCTCTAGAACCCATACCATAAATAGAACGTATGGCTCTCTTTTGTAAAATAAATATAGTATTTATATCGGCAGCTTTACCCCATAGCAGTATGCCATATGACATAATGCTATGGAAATAACTAAAATATACAAGTTTTGCCGTCGCCACGTCTGTTAATTGCCTTATCCTTCTAATTGCATAAGCAGCAGAACTAAGTCTACTGGCTAATTTTGAAATATGGGGCCCCCATTGTAACTTCGAGTCCACTGTTATTCCTAAAAAAACTGTATCATTAACAAAATTTACTATTTCATCATTAAGCAATAGCTGCGTATTTACTTGTTTTACATTAGGCAGCGTGAATTTAATGCACTTAGTTTTGTTGGAGTTCAATAATAGATTATTACATGTGAACCAATTTAGTATAGCAGAAATAGCATAATTTACATCGTCTAATTGATTACATTGGCGACCAATTTTAAACACTAACGAAGTATCATCCGCAAATAACACTATATCTGCAACTTTCTCTACCATGTAGGGAAGGTCATTTATATAAATTAAAAAGAGAAATGGGCCTTGTATGGTATAAAATATGGTAGGTCACGGTGTTGGCAAAAACGAAGATTTTTAAAACAATTGGATTTATTTTCGACACATAAATTTTATAATGTTAATTAGAGATAAGACGTGCGGTGTCGATCGCATCTAGGTGCAGACTGCGTGGCGTCCGTTGCGCCGGTTATAAGTTTTTTTGAAAACGACTACGACACCGCACGCAGAGACAATAACATAGACAAACATCATTTTAATTATTTTGTTTTTTAAGGCACAGAACGCGTCGCTTACACACCCCACCCCAGTGTTGAGCCTGGCTCAGCACTCATTATCCATCGAAATACGAACGACACGCGTCACCGGCCGTTTCAAAATGCCAGTCGTAGTTTTCAATTCTACGACCCTAACTCGACCATCCCTTCCTGGAAACACCTGCTGAACCACAGCTTTCAGCCAGAGATTACGAGGTGCATCAGGATCGACAATAAGTACAAAATCACCTACCTGTATCGGTGTCTGGTCGTACTGCCATTTACGCCTAGGTATTAGGTCAGGAAGCACTTCTCTGACCCACCGCTTCCAAAACATGTCAGCGAGCCTCTGCGCCTTACGCCACTGTTTACGTAGGTACAAATCAGAGTCATTAAATACACCAACAGTTGGCAAATTTGATGACGAACCCAACATAAAATGATTAGGAGTTAGAGATTCACTACTACCTACTTCTACCGATACATGTGACAAGGGTCGACTGTTGACAATATTCTCAACTTCCGTCAGGAGCGTATTGAGTACTTCTTCACGTGGTGCACGTTCTTTTAAAATTACCCTAAGTGAAGTCTTGACACTCCTAATAAGTCGCTCCCATGCCCCACCCCAGTGGGGACTGGCAGGCGGGATGAAGGTCCATTCCACTCCATTATTAGCTGCTTCATTTGTTAGCCTATCAAAATCTACCTCATTTATAGACTTCTTCAGCTCAGCATCAGCGCCTCTCAAGTTTGTACCATTATCAGAGTACAGCATACGAGGCCAACCCCGTCTTGCTGCCATTCGACGAAGAGCCATAATGCTCCCTCATTAGAGGTAAGTGATGACACCAGTTCTAAGTGGATTCCACGGACGGTCAAACAAGTAAATAAAACTCCATACCTTTTCTCTCTATGTCTCCCCACAGTGACCTCCATGGGTCCAAACAAATCCAGACCACAGTGTGTGAAAGGACGCTGATGATGAGCCAGTCGTGCTTCAGGCAGCTCTCCCATTCTCGGTACCTGTGGTTTTGCTCTTTTTATTCTACAAAACATACATTTATATGTCATTCTTATACATACCGCCACTCCTCAGGGCGGCTTAGCTCGTCTATTTCACCCAGCCGGTTTGCTATGTACGTTTTATAGCTACGTGTATTATTACATATCCAGTGTAGCACGGTACTAGAGTCGCACCAAAAATAACGCCTTACTGGATTTATTTTGTGTTCTCTGATTATTGTATCTGCCAACCTCGCAGCCAATAAAGCAGCTTGCAATTCCAAACGCGGCACGGTAGTATGACTCACGGGCGCGACACGGCACTTGCTAGCTATGAATGACATACATATATCTTTATTTACGTACCATCGCCAGTATGCGACTGCGCACATTGCTTTAGTCGACGCATCGCAACACAAGTGTAACTCTAAATTACTATATTCACTTCCAGCCAAAACCTGTTTCGTAGCGCCTGTCACTACGTCATTGCAGCGGGATGTCGTAGCGCAGCTATTAGCTACGCCAGTTTCGTAGCCGATAGCCCGTTCGGTTACGCTTGTAGATGTACGAGAGGTGAGAGAGGTTATGTTTACCTGAACTGAAGTGCTACGTTTTATCGCTGACTCACTCCCACTCGTCGCTGCTTGATACCACCTCGGCAGACGGATATTTTTTATTTCACTCGTTAGTACATTGACCCACTGACACCATTTTTTATGTATGTCATCTGTTACTAAGTCGTCCCAGCTGATTCCAGCGCGCCAGGTATCTTGCAACATTATTTTACCTTGTATAGTAAATGGCGATAAGAATCCAAATACATCGAATATTGACATTATGACTCTGAGCATAACTCTTTTTGTTGGTCTATTCTTACCATTAATTATGTCATGTGGTATGCGCTTGAGAGACACATCGAACCCCAACTCGTCTTCGCGCGGGTACCATATCAATCCGAGCGTACGTTCACCTTCGCATTCTTGATCTATTTTGAACTTTACGGCCGTAGTACCTAAGGACTCCTTTGGAATACTATCCAATACGGCTGGACTGTTGCTAGTCCAATTACAAATATGAAAACCTCCTGATTTGTGAATTTTACTAATATTACGTACCATTGTTATGGCGGCGGCCTCGTCTGGCAAACTGTCTATGTAGTCATCCATATAATGTTGATTACATATCGCTGCTACGGCGTTTGGCATCGATGACTCATACCTTAGTGCGTTTTTATTCTTAATAAATTGAGCTATGAACGGTGAACATTTCGCGCCAAATATTAATGACGTCATCACGTACGTTTTTTCATGTTCTGCAGGACTGCTTCTCCACAGAAATCTGAGTGCGTTCTGGTCTTCTTCTCTTACCTTTATCCTTAAAAACATATCTTTTATATCGCCGGTCACCGCTACTCTGTTCTCCCTAAATCTTACCATAATGCCGAACAGAGATGTAAGTAGGTCCGGCCCCTTCAGTAGATAGTCATTTAATGACAAACCATTTGTGCCAGCTGCGGCATCGAAGACCAGACGTAGTTTTTTTATTTGGGTTGTCTACCCCAAAATGTGGTAAGTACCATGTCCGTGGCGAGACACTGCAGTCTTCCAACTCTCTGGCATAATCATTTTGTAATAAATGATTAACACGTTCGACATACCTGTTACCATATTCCGTATTTAACATAATTTTCTTTTCTATACCTTTTAATCTGCGTACAGCGTTAGGGAAGCTATTTGGCATCCTGCAGCTTTCATCTTTCCATGGTAGCCCAACCTCCTACCTGCCGTTGATGAGTGTAGCAGTTTGCTCCATCACTGTCAGGGCACGGATATCATCAGCATTCTCCCGTGGCTTACCTGACACTCCCATGGACTCGATGGTGAATGACCGTCGCACCTCGTCATGGATGTCTCGTAACATGCGCTCGCTCTCGTCGACTGGTAAGCTGTGTAACTCAGAGATAAGGAGGGTCGAGTGGGACGATTGTTTATGTTCCGGTATACCTAAACAACCATGTATACACCAACCTAAGGGAGTGCGTGTAGCGACGGGTTCATTCTTGTTACCTAAACTAGTTTGCAAAGGAATTAACAAATGATAATTATCCTGCCCTAATAGTATTTCAGGTTTCAATTTTTTTATACACAATTCATTTTTAATTTTACGCAAATTTTTATACAAGTTGTAATTAACAGTAGATAAATCTTGTATAGGCAAATCTAAATTATTTATGGTACGAGCTCTGTAAATTCATATGATAATAATGATGTGTATACTGTAAAAGCTCGTACCATAAATTTACAGAATTATTCCATGCACCACACATACGTAATGTGTCGCTGGGGCCGCTCAGTCCCGCGCGGTTAGCGAGATCGGTAGCTATGAGCGACACAGTTGAACCGTCATCAAGTAAGGCGGTGGTATTAATAACACCGTATGGTCCACGAATTTTTACCGGCACTACTTTTAATAACACTTGTTGATTATTTACGTTAATATGGGTCACAGTTTCACTCACGGGTGGACATTCGTTCACTTGTTCGGCGGTGACGTTGCTAGTCCTGCACCCGGTGGGTACGGGGTAGTGCAGAAGCCGGTGGTGCGCTCCGCCGCAGCCATCTTTATCGCAGGCGGGCGCCGGACATGTTTCGCGCTCATGACTGACAGTAAACACTTGTAACAAAGATTGTTACGCTTAATGTATCGCCATCTATCTTTTCTTAGCGCTTTTTTAAACTGCGTACATTTTGTTAAATCGTGTCTTGAAACACGACAGTATTGACACTTATCATTCAGTACTAAAACAGAATGTGATCTGCTACTTATATTATTATCATAATTTTTATATTTATCGCTGCGTGCATTTATTAAGCATAAGTTAGATGTTGTGGAAATCTTTACTGCTTCTTGAGTTAGAAATTCGGATAATAATTCTAATCTAGATTTCTTTCTTTCTAGTAACAGTGTGTAACTATAATCTGACCACTTAGATACAAGAACAGTTGGCATCTTAGATAATAATAATGTAAATGCATCTATACCTTGTAAATATTCCTGGCGGCCGACGGCTCGTGTTGCTTCCACGAAATTCTGCACTTTCACAGCAAAGTACACTATGTCCTTTTGATATTCTTGTGACACTGGATGTAACTTTTTTAATTCTTGTATCAAGCGTGATATAATTATATCTGGGTTACCGAACCTTAGTTCCAGTGTCGCCATTAATTTATCAGGAGTTACGGCGCTGATGAGTAAAGCTGATACCGCTTCCTTTGCGGCTCCACGTAGACATTTCCGTAAACGCCATAAATTTTCCTTCGGATTGAAGTTGCAGACTTCAGTCGATTCTTCATAGGCCTGTTTAAATTGCAGCCATTCCATGGGGTCCCCTGAGTAGTATGGCAAATCCTTCGGCGTGCTCAATCGAGACAATAGTTTAGCATTCGAGTTGCTATTCGCAGAGGCGGCGGCCATGTTCTTTAGAGCGCTTGCTAGCATCTGAACTGTAGTACCATTAGTGCCAGAATCTATTGCTGGCGGACACGTGTCACCCTGTTGAAAACCATGATCGTGGGCAAACTGTGTGTTTTCCAATTCTTGCTGGCTGTGCTCGACCCACCTCTCCACATTACTATTAATGTTGGTGCGATTATCCTCTAGGTCTGGACTGTATTCTGCTTCTAAATCAGCTAGGTCTGCTTCCAATTGTTTGTCAATTAATTCCATTTGAATTTTAGCTTTCTTCTGTGCAGCATCGAGTTCTAACTGCTTTTTACGTGCCAGTACAGATGAATGCGAAGACTTCGTGGACTTTGCACGCTTCGTTGTAACGGGCGTCGACGGTTGGCATTCTTCTTTACAAGTACCCGCTTTTGAATTTGTGCTCATAACGGTCACCGTCTTCTCTTCTGTAGGCTTCATATTACTCGGCCGTGGCGTATCTTGATACTGTTCAGAACCAGGATGCTGCTCCATCTGCATGCAGTCCTTATTGCGTGCAGTACTTCGGGTGCCTACCATTTTGTGCGCTGGTGGTGTGCGGTACATAAATCCGGCCGAATGACCAAATGTATGGTATAAAATATGGTAGGTCACGGTGTTGGCAAAAACGAAGATTTTTAAAACAATTGGATTTATATTCGACACATAAATTTTATAATGTTAATTAGAGATAAGACGTGCGGTGTCGATCGCATCTAGGTGCAGACTGCGTGGCGTCCGTTGCGCCGGTTATAAGTTTTTTTTGAAAACGACTACGACACCGCACGCAGAGACAATAACATAGACAAACATCATTTTAATTATTTTGTTTTTTAAGGCACAGAACGCGTCGCTTACAGGCCTAACATTGAACCTTGAGGCCCATTTTTATATTAGTTCCCTTAGACTTTACACCATCAATATCTACAGTTTGCACCCTATCCTCTAGATAAGATTTCATTAGACTTATGTCATTATCTCTAATACCATAATGTTTGAGCTTGTACAAATGTGTTTCATGATCTACGCAATCAAACGCCTTCGACAAGTCACAAAAAACGCCGAGAGCATCCTGTGAGTTTTCCCATGATTCGAATATATGTGTAATAAGAGCTACACCTGCATCAGTAGTAGACTTGCCGGCAGTGAAACCATAAGAGTCGGTGATGGGGGAGCCCCATGCCGTGGATTTGGCATTGAAGTCCCCCATCACCATCATTGGACGGGCCGAGTATAGCTCCAGAGCGGCCCCCAGCCCGTCCATGAACTGCTCGAACTCGGCGAGAGTCCTGTTCGGAGAGAAGTATGTCCCGACAACGACGGTTTCCCCCCAACTCACACCTATGTACCCCGCTCCGCCGAATAGGCGGCTGACGAGCGGGGTCGCGGGGTTGCCCGCGCCAACAATGGCCACCAGGCCAGAGGGGTCGCCGAACCAATGGTCACTTCGTGGGACACGATATGGTTCGGCGACCACTGCAAGGTCAACTCCCCACTGCGCCGCGCTCTGCAGAAGCAGATCCTGGGCGCGCGCGCAGTGGTTGAGATTCCCCTGCAGGAGGCGATGGACTGCCATTATTGACCGGTGTCCATCACCTCAGCCTCTCCCCGGCGGCCATTGCCGCGGGCCGACGACAGTGCGGATCCCCTCACTCTCTTGGACCGGGATTGGGGGCACTTTTTGGCACCCACCCGGTGGTCCGACTGGGATGCGGCGCTCAAGGAGTTGGCTCCAAGGAGGATGCCAGCCCTCGGTTGGTTACCCGATTGCACCGCCAGAAGCGGTGCCTCCGGGTCAACCCAGGCCCTCGAATATTGTTCTTGAGTAAGAACAATACCGAGGCCCAGGCCCCGCGCAATGGCCGGCAACTCCCTGGTGGCCAACTCCGAGCCGCCCGCATTGATCTGCCCGAAAGTAATTGCAGGTCGCTTAGGAGCCATATTCAGTGGTGTGGACGGCCCGTTGCTCGGCGTGCAGGCGCGCCGGGCAGGTCTTTGCCATTGTGGCGTGTGTCGCGGCGTCTCCTCGCCCGAAGCGATGACACGTCGCGCAGCGGCTCTCCTCAGACTTGCAGCCCAATCGGTCGTGCCCCGTACTTCCGCACAGTCCGCAAGTCTTCTTTGGCCCGGCAATACTTGGCCGGGTGGCCGTACTGCTGGCACTTGGCGCAGTACGTCACATCTACATAGTCCGTAGGTGTGATGACGTCCCAACCTACGTATAGTTTGTCCCGCCTGATGAGCGCTCCCCTTAGTGACGGACTGCACCGAAGCACCACAGTAGTGTTGCTGCTGCCCCTCCACGATTTTTTGAAGGCAACCTCGCTGTGCCTCTTTATCTTTTCTGTAGTCCAGCCTTCTTCCTCTATGTTTTGGGCTGCGAGGTTGCCAATTAGCTCTTACGAGCCGCTGTCTGCAGAGAAACCCCTCAAGGCCACTAGGGGCCGCCTAGCCTTTGGCTCGGTGACCCGTAGGGTCGGCGGGGCAGCCTCCTTCAAGCGGGCAGCAGCTTCCTTAATGGTGGTCTGAACGACCACCCCTGCATTTCCGACTTTGCGGACGTTCGCCACCTGCAACTGTAGAGTCGCCGGGCTGACTACTTTCTTGAGTAGCCGCTTTGTGTCTTCCGCAGTCCTGATCTCTTTTGCTGCTTCCTCAGTGGGGTAGAAGGCCAGGACTGGCCCCGGCGCTGCGATCCTTGTTGATGGATTATTCTGTACAGCCGCCATGTTTTGGTGCAGTCTCAACTTTGAGGCATACGTTTCCGTTTGGGCTGCCTTCACTGCAGGTCACCCTCGACCAGACCCGGGGGTCTCTGCTAGGCGAGCGCGGGGGAGGGGTGCGGCAAATGGATTTCCGCGGGAGGAACGGGGACCCGTCGTCCTCTTCCTCCATGTCTTCCAATAAAACTCCCCAAAATATGGGAACTCTGGAATAAGATTTTTCCCCAAAATATGGGAGCTACACTAGTTCTATTCAATGTCCACACTAAGATTATTAAAGTTCACTGGTAACACA